CAGGGCTGCCCGGTTATCCCAGACGGCTGCCGGACTCCACTATGGGCCACGACTTTTTGTTAGTGAGAGAACGACCCGAATTAGCCTGGGACCTTGGTGGTGAGGTGATGATGTGATGGAGTGAAGTAGGAGAGAGCATACATACTACCTAACGCAATGGGACTTAGAACTAGAGTGGACAAGCAGACACAGTCACCAGTCAGAGACAAAGTGAGGGCACCACACAAAGTCAGGCACCGTACACCTAGCTATTAGTAGAGAGTGGCATAGACTGACGGACAGACAATCGCAGCAGGCATCGTGGGTGTCGTTTAGCTATTAACAGACAGACTAGCATATAAAGGGCAGGCAGCAAGCGCAGCGTACGACGCGGAACTTCAGCAAACAAAAGGAAGAAACAAAGCAAGCGCACTTACCTGAGGGGAAACTTACCTGGTGGCCGCCTACGATGGTCCAGGCAGAGCCTCGTCTCGACGAAGTCGACGCGAAGATCCATCCGGCCAGCGCAGACCACAGTACCGCGCGTGCAGGTGCACGCACGGATACCCTCACCTGGTTTAGCCCGCCGGTCGAGACGGTTGCCCGGAGTGTGGCCGCCGAGCAGAGCCCAGCTACGTGGAGCCACAGGTGAGAGTTGGGTGCCAGCAAATGGACGCTAGGCGTAGTCTCACCTGCAAGCAAGTGAGCGACCACTACGACCTTCACGTGAACCCACCGCTGACACCCCTACACCCCACAGGAGTATTCACCCTATTGCTCGCAAACAGAAGACTGTTACCAGCCTACTTAGTCGAACACAAATGCACTGCTCAGACAGCAATAGTAAGCAAAAGCAACTTAATTGTTTGTTTAGGCCGTTTTCTCTAAATTGGTACTCTAGAGATTTGGTACGCTGATGCTTGAGAAAACAAAAATAAAAAGACAACGAACTAGATTGTTGCGATCAAATTCCCAAACCGAAAACATTTCTGTGCATATATATATATATATATATATATATATATATGCTGGAAAACGGGCATCCCAAGCAATTTAACGGAAAATGAGTAAGATTCTGTGGAAAGAGAATAACCTTAAATACGCAAATTTTCTAGTCTGGTCCCCCACGTCGTTGTCAGACTTTTGGTCTGTGTCTACAGCCTGCTACACCGAGCCAAATCTACTGCTCTGATGAAGAAATTTATCGATCAGAAATGAAATATCCTTTCATGTTATGTTCTCACAACGGGTTTCCGCGGGAATTTACGTCATTGCATGAAACATGAGCTTATACAGAAAGGTATTTCGAAAACCACGGCCACCCAAGCACCAAAACCATTCACCTGCCGGACCCTCCCATACGTGAATAATGTCTCTGAGCTCGTCGAAAGACAGCTGAAAAGCATCAGATACAAGTAGCACACCAACCTATAACCACTTTCCGTACAGAGCTCGTAGACCCTAAGGACAGGTCTGACTATCTTGATAGAAAATGGGTTGTCTACAGATTACCATGTTCTAGTTGTGATACCGTCTACTGTGGTCAAACCGGGAAATCTGCCTCTACCCGCATACATGAGCATCAGTTAGCCGTGAAGAGATGAGATCACTTATCCGAGGTGGCTATGCACACTCTGGGCACTGGACAGAAATTTTCATGGGAGAACACTCGCATTGTTGGCGCCTGCCCAATAAGGCCGCGAATTCCTGGAGGCAATGCCCTCAGGTGAGGCATGCATCAATCGGCATATCGATTTAGATGCCACGTACAATTTTCTCAAGGGCAAATGGAAGCGAGCGCAGCCAATGCCGAGCGGATGACGAAAAGCCATTTACGCGCACTGGCGCGGGCTGCGGCCCTGCGACATGGTTAAATAGTTAACTGTTTTTTATACATAACCCAATAGTCTGACGACGAGCAGGTTAGCCAGACTCGAAAATTCACACATTAAAGGTTATTCTCTTTCCTAAGAATCTTACTCATTTTTAATTAAATTTCTTCGGATGCGGTGAATCATGCATTAATCTGCATGGAAATGAAAAAATGGAAGAGGTGCAAGCCAATCCGCACGGAATGCCAACCCACAACCATGACTTTTTGGCGAAAATGAAAGGGCAGTATCGATTTCAGGTACTTAAAATTTTGACTGTTTTACACATTTGCTACACGTCTTAGGAAGATCCGGAGAATGAGTGTCAAAAATCTACAGAATGAAGTTAGTTATGCTTTTCAAAGGGCTGAATATTTTTAAATATATATGTGTGTATACCAAATGATGGAAAACAGGCGAGGCCCAGATACGTAAAAAAGGTGACGGGATGGCGATCTCCGGGACTTTTTGATCTCTCATACCAACCCATCTTCAAGGATTAAAGAAACTACATCGATCATTACATATTTGACCCATCTGAGCTAGAGCGACCTTCAGCTGCCCTATTGATTTGTTTGCACAACGCCGGATAAACGGGTGACAGATCGACATGCCTACTGCTTAAGATCTTGGTCGAGTGGCCCTCTCCCTACAGTAAACTCGATATTCGATTATCCAACTGGCCGAAGATTTTAACGCACTCGAAACCGGAGTTTTACCCTGGCGACAACGAGTGGGAGGCTAACATGGAAGGTTTATCTTTACCCATCACTGAGAGTTCATGTTCATGCGAACTCATACGGACCTGTTTGGCGGTTCCACCAACATATTTGGTTTGACCACACTCGTATTCTATCCGGTTAATGACGCCAACTTCCTAATTGATGGGTACTGGGTCGTTAGGATGCATGAGTTGCCGATGGATTGTCGCATCGCGTGTGCGAACGACGCCAATCTCGAATTCTTCAAGCCAGCATGTGAGTTTTGGCTGTCCCGTCAGGTTTCTTCCCCTGGCCTTCAGATAAAACTGCTGGGATATCCGTTAGCTGTGGAAAGTTCCACAAAAACCAAACCTTTCTATTCTCATCTGGCTTGATGCGATTTTTTTCTACACATCGAAAGAGGGTTTTCACACAGCGGCGTTTGTGCGACAGGGGGGGTGGTTGCTATGACAACTAAGGGCACGTGAAGTATTCGTTGACTTCCTGTAAACCGTTCTTCCGTAAAACAACACGTCTTGAAGCGGAAACTGACGATCTTTTTCTCCTTTGTCGGGAAATAGATGCCAGGGAACTTCGAGTTAATATTTTGCAGGAATTCCTCAATCCTGTCTCGACTGATGACGACAAATGCGTCATCATCACACCCACAGTCGCGGTCAATAGTGATCAAGAGTTAGTGCCTCCAGGCGTTTCATTACTGCCTCAGCAAGCAGACTAGGCAACAGCGGCCCTATCGGTGTGTTTTTGACTTGTTCGTACACGGTTCCAGAGAAGGTGAAGAAGGCCATCAAACGATGTTTCAGGAGATCTACAAGGTGCCTTGTCAAGAGTTATTCGTCCGTCCCGTTATAAGGTTATGCTAGCAAGTGTTTTTATGGTTTCGAGGGCTAGACATTGTAGAACCGAGGTACAAAGTGATGTCATTTCGTTATCCGCAAGTTCAATACCCTTCATTTTTTGCATGAACTGCTCAGCTGAATGAACCGTTCTTTCGGAGCCCAAAGTTAAAAACTTGAGCCGCTGAAACAACCGCTTGACCAAGTCAGACGTTCGGGTCCCTCTCAGAGTAGCAATCGCCCGTAGGCGTGTTCTCGGTTTGTGGACCTTTGAAAGGCCATAGAATCTCGCGATCGTTGCATCCTTGGGTTTCGTTTTTTTCCAGTTGAACTGTTATATGGTTCTTGCTTTCCGAGGACTTGATACGTCTTTGTTAATATTGATAAAAGGCGTTTTCGTCTTGTCCTCTTCACGACATATGTAGGCAGATCTGTCGTCCAGAACAGTCTAGACTTTGCTTATGTAGTCCTTCTTGTTCAGTAAAACCGTCGGCCGTTCTTTGTCAGGTGAAAATATGACAATACTTTTGTCGACATTTAGCATCCGGAATGCTTCGTTTTCCGTGTTTTAGAGGATATTGCTTTTTGTGTGGGACATTAGTCTGCAGGAGATCCGCCATCGTAATAGATTTCTGTTTTCCTCTGTGGTTTGGTCTTCACCGATGACAGATTCTGCAGCATCGATGAAGTCAAATGATTTGGCATTGGAGATTTTGAAACAGGCACCATGTGTCAGGACTTTAGGGGAACTTCCACGTTTCCAGTATCAGAGCAGTTTGTTTGATTTCCCTGATGGCTTTGGTCCATGAACTCGCGTCCTCTTCTTTGGGAGATGATGGACGCGATAAGATTACTGGGCTTCAAGTTTTTTAACAAACATGGATATGCAGAAGGAGATTACCAACAAAGACAGGAGAGCGTGAGATGGTCAGGTTTAGCCAACTAGCCGTCGCCAGCTTTCGCTACCCAAACCCAGGTTTTGCGAAACCTGAACTTCGGCCCCCGCGTTCTCTGACCATCGGGCTTTACTTCCAATGCTCTACCAATCGAACCAGGGGCTCTTTGTCATGTCAACTGCAATCGGGAATATTAACCCTATTGAACGCACTTCCGACATAATGGTAGGGGGACGCTCACCGATCGTTCATACGGAACTCACTCGTTACGTTGTGCCTTAAGGGCTCTCTCTCGAGCCCAACAAGCAGCCTCGCAGCGGCGCATGACATATAGGCAGAATGCTATTACCGACAAAGACAAGGGAGACCGGAATGGCCATTTCTGGCTTATTAGCCGTCGTCAGCCAGCCATACCCAACCCCAACGTCATCTTTTAGGTTATTTAAGGGGAATCCAGTTCAGTAAACTCTATACTCATCGGGACCCGATGGTAACCCGTCTCATTTTCCACATGCGTGACCACGCAGACCGGGGTTTATCCACCTCGATCTCGTTGAACTAGTCTTTTAGTCGGTTACTCTGCTAACTTCGAGCATTCTGTCCACACCCACCCCCTACTTTTTTCTGGGTCCTAGGTCGTCGCGTTAAATTTTTACAGTCTTGGTTTGGATGTAGCTGGTAAAGCATACAGTTGTTGTGCACTTTAAAGTCAAAAACGTAGCCTTCTTGTTCCGCCTATGACCCTTCTGTCATCGCACGGCGGGCGGGCTGGCGATCACTCATAAAAAAATGGAGGAGTCCGTGGAACGGACGAGTCGCAATCGTTGTTAGACATACGGAGGGAATCTGGGACTTAAATCGGTCGTAATTAAGTCACGGTAGCCTGAAGCCAACTGCTCTGCTGCTGATGCCATTCAACCATATCCTGTCCATAGTAGTTGGGAGTATGTCGTGCTCCTGAGGAGCAATAAGTGACTACACGCGTTGTCCCAACTCACCAGCCTTCTCTGTGCCGTCGCACCGTGTAATTATTAGTGTCTTTTTTCCGCATGGCGAGTCCCCAACGAGGTCGCCCACGTACTCTGTTATGCAATCTCGACAGCACTCCCTGCCCACTTCCCACACTTAAAGCTTCCCCTCTGGCTTTGTCTACATCCCTAGCATGTCTCATAATTGCCGGAGACTGGAACACTTCGTGCACCTGTGGACTCTCCGTCTCTCATCGGACTAACTCCTTGTACGAGTTTTTCAAAGTGAGGTCTAGAGTTTCTCCCTTCTTATGGTTTGAAGCGACCACATGACCCGTGTCACATGACGCGAACGTATGTCTATAAAATACTGTTTAAGTTCGTTCTTCCTAGACTCCATGAGTCATGCAGTTGCGTTAGGCGTTGTGTCTCCAAAATACTGTTTAAATTCGTTCTTTCTAGACTCCATGAATCATTCAGTTGTGTTAGGCTCTGTAGCGGATGATAAGGGCTGAAAGCCCTTCAGCCCACTAATTGCACACATTGAATGAATAACAGAGCGTGAAGACCTGTTCTGCCAATGAAAGAATTCATCCAACTCGGAGCCCAAAATCCACTGCAAAACCGGATGCGCTTCGTGGGGGGTGTAACTGTAGCTTCCATCCAATTCACTCGGACTAACAGAGATATTTTTAACCCCCAACTAATTATTCACTCGGAGTCTGTGCACTTTTCTATCAGTTGTCCGATTAGGCATTCTGAGCACCTTATAACGCGGAAAAGCATTTGGCAATTTTGTCGCCCAAAACGGGCTACTCATAAAGTACAGGAAGTGGCGCATCTCATGAAACGTTAGCCGAAGTTTTGAAATGTGTTTCTGATTAAAAAGGACCACTTAGGTAGCGTTTTAATATTGATTATCGTGCAAAATAATCCAAAATTATTTCACTCACGATAGGATGCCTGCTTCTGATTGCACATCTTCCTGGCTGCCAGCAAAAACCGCATTTGCCAAAAATGACTATTTATGTAGGCTCCATTCCTCCAATGATTTTCGATGATCGTATAAATTCGAGTATGATCCACCGAAAGCACGCGCAAACGTACCCTCTCTTCTATCCATTTGATAGTAAATTACGTCTTCTTCAAATTCTATACTCAGAGAGAGGGTAGCTTTCAGTTTAAAAGACTTTGCAGTAATAAGGTTTTAAAGACCGTGAAACGACATTCAAATAGCATCGTATATATCCGGATGTAAATTCTCTTTATAAACTGTGCAATATGGTCAGCATCCATGTGGTATCGTCCTAACAGTATAGAGGAATGCGTGTTTTTCTTCACATGGAAAGTATGGAAAGTGTAGTTTCGAAAGGACAAACGCATTTTTAACGGCAGGTTAGGTTCAAAATGATCCGCGAATTGGGAAACTTGTTAACGCAGAAAGCCATCCGTTTTCGTGCATAAATTTGAAGAAGATGTGATTTACCACAAAATTCGTTCAAGAGAGGATATTTTGCGCATGTTTTCTATAAAATAAATCCGAGTGTGAGCGTACATGGGAAATCAATAGCAAAATGAATACTACTTAAGCAATAATTATGGCGCAAGTGATTGCTGTGAGCGGTCATTCAGTCAATGCTCGAGTTCGATAAAAGAATGGGAGGTAGGTGGCACGCTGACAAAATGAAAGCAGAAAATATTCGACCTACCGGAACAAAATCTTAACGATAAATAAACAACCAAAAATGATTTTTCATGTTCGAACCAATCACGATGTCTTCCCCTATGTTGGTTCAGGACCGAGAGAACCGATTAGGCGTTATTTTTGTTTGCTTAGAACGGTGTCTGGCCGATGTTTTAGTTCACAGAAGACCACAAAGGACGGTTCCGTCGGGGTGTACTTGTGACGGTCTGCTCTCCCTGTCGTCCGCCCGGCCGCTTACCCATGTCCTCTTCTGTCCGCCTAGCACACCTTTCGGTCACTGCTTTCGTGCGCGTGTGACGCAGCACTCGGCTCGCCGGCATCGTGACACCAATCGATATTTCTCTCTTTACTGATTGGTCGCAGCCGGACAAAGCTCATGCGCAGGCATTTTACGCCGACGATGGCAGCATAACTAGGCTGCCGCATGGCTGTTTAAAAGCTTACTGACTCCGCCTGCTGAGTCGCGTGCACGCTCTCCACTAGTTTCGTCTTCCCCGACTTTTGATTTGGGGATCCTCGAATCGTCGACCCATCAACCTCGACACATTATTTGTGCCTATATCACCTCCTTGTCCCGCCAAGCTAACCCATTCCCCCGAGATAATCGCCAGCCTAGCGACTGTGGCCGCGCACGCAATAGCCTCTTAGCCAATGAGGGACACGCATGCCCTGTCCCGTCGACCAAAGCAGGTTTGCCTACCAAGATTTAGAATCTGCTTCCATGAAGTAAATTTTAGAAGACTTTGTGTCATTCTGAATTTGTATCGGGGCACTCAGTTTCACAGGCATCGGCTGGAGGACCGTCATCCATTGTGAGTAAAATACTTCCGTCAGCAGTTGTTTGGCTGGAAGTTTGCTCGACCTTATATCGCGTTGTAACCACTCTTACACCTGTAGCGGCCGAGGACGTCAAGTATAGCACACACCAAAGTAAGAGAACGCTGATAAGAGATCTTGGCCGGGGTAAACACAGGAGAAGAAAGCATTTCGAATATGGGATAAAGTGCACGGGGAAAACATATAATAATCGTAATTGTACAGGAAGGATGGTTACATCTGTAGAATGACCTGTCTGGGTGGAGAGGCGATGCCAACATGCCAGCTAGTAAACCGGTGGGGAGCGCAGAGCTGGGGGCAACTGCAGGGAGGGGCCGAGGGGGTGCCGATGTGGCGAGGAGGCGAGCGGTACGGACGATAGGTTACGTTACGGTACGACGAGGGGGAAGTGATCGGCAGAAGAGAGAGGGAGGGGCACCGGCTATCTTCACCGACACGCAACTACGCCATCTCCACCCTAGGTCCTCGCGCCAAAAAGTGTTCACACATTCAAACAATTCTGTTCGCGCCGAGGGACGTTACACACTAACATGAACACTGCGTTGTTCTCTGATCTATGGTACATCGTTGGGCAGCGTTGTACTCATCTGCTGACGTCCAACATTATTTACAATGGGATGAGTTTAGGCACTAGCAGTATTCGCTGCTGAGCGCAGACCCCATCCCGTCCAATCGTTAATTATTTTACTAGGCTTTAGCCTCAGTGCAAAAATACCAGTTTTGCATCCAGTCGGTCTTGTCAAGATGGTCGACTGATTGAGCAGAGGATCCACTGTGACAACAGGGCTGGAGAAGGTGTAGGGTTTTTGAATCGAAGCAGTTTAATTGCCTTACATGCTCTGAGGTCATCTACTCTGCTTTCTGCTGACGCTGGGCTTTTACCGACCGCAAACTGAGGTCATTATTGTGGCTTTATTAACTTTAACGCCAAAGGGAGCAAAAATAGCTCATTTCCTAAATGCTGATGTTTAAGAACGTGTTCTGTCAATAACAGGGATGGCCGGTCTTTCTCAGTATCTGAATGCTAGCAGCTACGAATGTTTTTCTTCTTTAAAGTTTTTGCCTTTCAAGCTATTTAGGGCCACCATTCGCATTTGCAAAAATCTTGCAGACCTTGCAGTGATTAAACAACAGCTTTCCTGCGAAGGAAGTAATCTGGACGGTAAAAGGCCGTCCGCACCAAAACAAGCATTATGTCATCCATGGTCTGCCGTAATATAACGTTCCTTGAACTTCTCCACTGCCCAGTTGGGTTTGTCAAAACAAGAACATAACTGGACGCACGACTCAATAAACAAGCCTGGTGATAGGACCGTCCTCATTGACGATGCCCACCGTGTGCCCGGTAGCATGGCGGGGGCAGGGATAGTTACTTGCGCAGCATCTACCCCATTCCCTCTTCCCTCACTCTCCTGGGTCAGGTGTCAAAACAAAGCCAATAACACCCTAGGCGAGGTATGACGCGGACGGCTGGCGTAGCATGGGTCTGCGCCTAGGCGCGCCACACACCCCCCACCCCCACGTATAACATTTGTCATGGGTGCGCAGCCTAGTAACGCGTACCGGACCCTGGGTTGACTCTCTTGTTTGTCCAGCACACCTACCACCTGGTCCCTTGCAGAGGCAAACACGAAACAGAATACCGTAGATGGCAGCACCGGTGAAGCGGACCGAAATTCACGAAAAATCCGCAGCAAATTTGTCAGATTCGTCGGTAGTGAGTCGCCAGCAGGAGAAAAGACAGACAGGGATGACCGAGTATGTTCTGCTGAGGACTGGCTGGTTCCCTGCCGTGCACGAACTTCGAACGATAAGAATGGTGCTGCGGCAGTCTGTTGCCATGGTCGCCAATGCGACTGCCTACCCTTACCGCCTTCTGTCCATTTAGCTCCTCCTCGCAATTGATTGCCTGCGCAGTGTGCGACTCCGCCTTCGGCCTACCGAGACCGTGTTGCCGATCGATTTTCATTTGTCTTCAGCGATTGGTCGCCAGCTGGACGGAGCGGGGGCGCACGCACGCACCTCGCGAGGCGGCGGCGGCGGCGGCGGCGGTGGCTACCAACTTTAACTGCTGGCACTCGGCTCGAGTGAATTATTGCTGGCACTGTCAGCTGAGCCGATTGTACGTTCCCTTGCTGCAGTAAAGATTGTTCTACTAAATCTGGCGCCTTGACATTTGATTTGGTAAAGCTCCACTTTGTCGACCTCTCGGGATTCGACAGTGCACTGACTTCCAAGTGCACGTTCACGCAATGCAAATTAAATAAACTATTTTGATGGCCCTTTGAGTTGTATTTTCTCCAAGCACTATCGTAGTAAGCACGACTGGTTGGTAACCGGAATTACTGGCGACCACACGTCCGACTTGATCTGGATTCTACCATGCACATGTGCACTGCTTTGTTTTAAATGGGCGGTAAGTACCACGCAAGAGGAGCTCAAACGTGGGGTTGCGTGACATGATTTTAAAGACGCCAGGCTGTTTTGCTTGGGACCACGTCTACTTTAATGTACTGAATGTAATTTCAATTGCAACTATCAGTGTGTAGAGTTTTTTTTATCTTCCTCTCACTTTTAACTGCTTATTTTTATGACCTTGTCTTGGGCTCGACTTTCTATCGGGTGGAAGTTGTGCTCACCTGTCTAGCCAGGCTCTAAAAAAAAACGTAGTCCCTCTCGTACGCAGGTCGGATCGACTACCACCACAAATTCAGTGATCTTCAGTCGCAGCACCAGTTTTCATCGAGTAGAACATTTCAGTGGAGTTTTCCCCAACTTTATCACCAATTTCGCGCACACTCGCTGCACCAGTCGATCCAGGTCGACTGAGCGCATCAAAATGTATTCGAAAATTCTTAATGCGCTCAGGAGATTGCTGAGAGACTAAACTTGCCTCCCGTGAGATCCGTTTTTTCTGGCACTTTTTTTTAACTGACGTAGAAGGAACATGTGAAAAAAAAGATTTCACACGCCAATGCATCACAGGATTAATACTTGCCTATGGCTCAAGACCTGTCGATGTGCGAGGATCGATAGTTAGGCTATTCTTAATCGAAGGTTGCTGCAGCAAGGGAAGCGCACAGTCGGCAACGCAGGCAGTGGCAACAGGAGGAGCTCGGTCCTCGGTATGTTTGCGAGAACTTGTATTGATTCGGCCTTCTTAACCTTTACAGTGAAATTGGCTAACGCAGCAGTATAAAATCCATCATGCATATCCGCAAACTGGAAGGTACAAGTCGGTAATTGGTGACCCCGGCGTGATCCGGTCACATTTGCCTATTTATTGTCTGTTCCCTGGCTGGGTCAAGTAAATTAGACAATCTCCTGTTAATGAAAATATTTTAACCATACTCTGCACTGGCGCGAAGTATTTCATTGTCGACCAGTAAGGTAACAACATGAATGACAGGTACCTCAAAAACTTAAGAATATGGGATGACCCTAACAACGTTCGGAACACCAACGAAGTCAAGCACCCGTCCCAGCTAACGAAACCCATCCTCGTGACTTCCAATGACCTCAAAATGCTGCTCCTCTTCCTGGAAATATGGGTTTGGCATGGGGGACCAAGAAGTAAGTGAGGGTCCGCTCTCTCAGTCGTAAGAGCGGCCGTTTATCCATGCCGTCTTCGGCCCGCCTAACCTGCTTGTCAATCACTGCTTGCGAGCGTATGACTCAACCTTCGGACTGCTGACGTCGGGACACCGATCGACACTTCTCGTCTCCATCGGTTGACCGCAATCGCACAATGCTCAGGTGCAGGCACAGATTTCGTGCCCGAGCAGACAACTCAAGTGGCTGACTCGGCTAGTGAGACCACTTGCAAATTTTGTGCCAAGTGAGCCGTATGTACGCTCTCTCACCTCAGCAAAGGTTGTCTAAGAACTCTGTCTTTCCTGACTTTTTATTTGGGAAGCCTCAGGGTGTATGTCAATAAGTACATGAACCAGATTTTGACGTTTCATCTCCTGCCCTGGATCCATCAGAAATTTTGACTGAAAGAGTGGTCGTCCAGCTTTCCTTATACCAACCATCTAGGCTGCTCATTCTGAACAGGAAGTGAAGTATTACACTGACATTTTGTCATCAGTTATTAGGCTCGCGCCGGCGTTGCCGGAACCTTATTCTCGCAGCAGTAAGTATTCTAAAAACCGCAACTTTCTATTCTCGGAAGGTTACATGATTTGTAAAAAAAACGGAAAGTCGACGGTCAGGCTAGAGTAAATCGTAGTTGCTGTTTTCTTTGTCTGGAGCACAGCAAGGTGTAGACCCAGACTCCGGACAACGAGTATTCAAATCAAAGACCCTACCATTAGGCCATGAGCTCAACGCTCCGTCCGCTGGGATTGCGAATATCAAGTCACTGGCAGGTGTCGATTAACGATTTATTCTGTTGGCGGGAGAGGACGGAGATGATGCCGTTTGGAAATGGAGTTCCGGCCCAGTCTTCCTTGTCGCGTCAGTGACTTTCTCCGCCATCGATTGGCCTGGGGTGCGCGGTCGCCTATGAGACCGACCAGCCGGAAAGCAAAACTGAACCGGTTCTGCCCCGCCCCGAAACCAGTACAGATGGATGATGACCATTTTCTCGTACTTCTTTCTGCTGTTAAGCGTACTGTGTCTCCGCGTGCTCCTTTAGACTTCTAAATTATTGGATATCCCATCAATAAAATTCACTCTGGAAGAAGAATAGTCCGGTTCATTTCCCTTTCTGGATGTGCTTCTGAGTAGAAGGCCTGGCGACAGCATTCGACGTAGCGTCTATCGTAAGAAAACGTCGTCCGGACAATACACCCATTTTAGGAGTTTCGTACAGCTAAATGTTAAACTTAATTTAGTCCGCTGTATGATAGAAATAGTGAGAAGAACCTGCTCATCTGATAGCGTTGAGAAAGAGCTTAAGATCATCGAAAGCCTTTTTCGCCAGAACGGGTATCCTGACCGATTCAATGCTAATAACATGGTCGAAAGACCACCAAAGGCCCCGATGCTGACGTCAGGAAGGAAAAGACTCTTCCTCAGGGTCCTATTTCAAGGGGACGCGCCAAGTGAACTTTTAAGAAGACGCCTAACTCAAGCTGTATCATAGACCTTTCCAGCAGCTGACACCCGTGTACTGTTTTCCACCAGTCCCATCCTATACGGAGAGGGCAAGGACAAACTACCAGCTCAGAACACCTCTCTGTGCATTTACTCCTTCACCTGCTCCTGTGGGACAGAATATATTGGTCGCACGAGCTGGCGTTTATCCAAAAGAATAAAAGAACATCTTCCAGCATGGTTATCAAAGGGTCAAATAAAGAACATCAACGGCTCGATCCTCGCGCACATGGAAGACACAGACCACCGCGTGGACGCCAGAGGCCTTTGTGCAGCGCTTGTTGGCTACGGCAGAGGCTGCTGAAATCAGGCTACGCGGACCGGTCTGCTGCTATGTGTGCGTCTGTGGTGTGGTCAATCAAGGCTATCGGACGGACTTTAAGGGCAAGGCGTGCGGAGGCGTTCGCTGAAAGGGTGGATGACCTTGAGGCAGTATGATGCTGAACAAAGGTGCTTTATACCACTTTGTCGGTCAGCAGAAGGTTGACGTGGACAGCGTGGAAATGAATAAAGGTTCGGCGTCACTCATTCTGCTGTGGTCAAGGGTGTGAGACCAACTTAAATCACACAATAATTTCGTTCCGTCGGATGCCAAAAGTCTGGGAGTTGTGAGAACAGGTTTATTCTGAGCACGGAGCAGGTTGCCGATAGTTGGCTGTTTGCTTGTGCCAGAGAAAAGCGTCCGCTCGGTCGCACGTCGGCAGCGGTGTGTTGCTTACGCGGTGTGAACGCCTGTGTCAGCAGGAGCGGGTGACGGGCTGTGTGTTGGTCGTGTGATTGGACGGATTAGGGGAGGAATAGGGGGCACATGCTCACAAGGGCTCACGAGCATCAAGCCAGACCGTCGGACGCGCGTCAAATGATGACAGTTTGTGGGGGGCAGTCAGGAGTCATTGCAGCTGGACAGGAGGGGCCTCAGTTCTAGCCGGCGGGGTGGCTGTGTGTCAACGGTTGTCACAGGCATCGACCGATAGAAGGGAGCCGGTGAAGGGGGCACTGGAGGGGCTGCTACGATTCCTCGTATCCTCAATCCCGTTTCGCCACTAAAACACGACGCGGTTAGATGTTCTTGTGTAGCCCCACCTGAGGTAAACTAACCCCAGCCGCCTGCAATATGGGACCGGTGGTAACCGAGGTTTTTGCATATGGAGCCGGGGAACGCACAGGCGACGAGATCAAGCACTTGTATGTAGAACTAGCCGGACCCCGCCATGCGTTGCTGTGGCTCAATCTGATGAATTGGGAAATAAGGGAATGAGGAAGGAGCACGTTCCCAATTAAGAACAATGTAAGGGCCACCGGTTGGCGGTACGTATTGTGTGCGAAACCCAGGCTTGTCCATCTAGCCGCTATCGAAGGCAGGACAATTGTCTGCTGCACCCCGTTGCGCTCGAGAATTCCGGAGTAAGTGGTGACGGTGGGCATTTATTTCGTCCACCGGTGTCAATCGAGGCAGTGGTGGCCTGAAGTCTCCTGCAGGCAGTCGCAGTGCATCAGAAATGGTCTGCTGTTTCCTCTCAAATCCTGCAGTATTCGATCAGGGGCCTCGAGCGCTTTTCTGCGCCATTGTGCATTCATCCCAAACAATAGATTTGCATTTCTGCAGTACTTTTTCCATGCCGGATGCTTTGGAAATGTTACACGCGAGAGTTTCAATGAATTGCGCCTTCAAGGGCAATTTGGAAGCTGAATGAACGGGTTTCCTGCCAGATAGCAGAGTTGCAGCTATTCCCGAGATGCAAGTGCTAGAGCTATGTCATTTACTGGATCGAATTGCCGTCAGAATCTGTCGTAGTAGGGACGTTTTGGCAGTCCCTCCTGGCGCATCTAGGAAGAAGATTCCTCCAACCCCGTTTATGACATTCCCCAGTATTTGATCGTAAATGTCATTCTGTTCCAGTCTTATGTTGTGAATGTTTGATTGCAAGCATGGCAGAAGTTGAACCGTGTTTCATTTTGCTCATGCCG